CACACTCCTACCCCCAACCCGCTGCCCTTTGCTCTTCCTCCAGTCCCCCACGGCGCACCTGTCAGCAGATGCTGGTGGCTTTACCTTCCACATACATTCGGCACCCACCCCGTCCCACCACCCCCCTGCCGGTGCCAGCCCAGGGTGCCCCTTAGCCCCCAGGGGGTCTCCCGGCTTTCACCCTAGCCCTGCACTCTTCAGTGCAGGCAGCAGCCAGGTCCAGAGGGGAAATAGTATGGGGAAGGAGAGCGGGGCGTGGGAAGGTGGGAAGCACTGACTGGTGAACTGAACTGGTGGAGGGAGGTGAGGCCCTGGAGCCCTGACCGCCAGCCCTGGAAGGTTGGATCGTGTCTGCAAGGCGGTGGGGAACAGCTTTAGGGCCCTTCATGCTGCAGGGTGGGGATGGTGACCCACGGGTCTGGTCACCCCTCTGTGACTTCTCACCATGTCCCACTGTGGTCCATCTGGCCTTGTCACCCCCCACCCCGGAACCGCGCCTGCTCTCCCTCCCTCTCCGTCCCATGCACCTGTGCAGCCCCACTCCACGGTCACTTCTTCCACCTTCAGCCTCCGCCCTTCCTGCTCTGCCTGAAACACGCTTCCCCGCTTCCCCTCATCTCGGCCTGGCTGGCTGCTTCTCGTCTGTGCTCCAAAATCGCAGCTCGGCTCCCTCCCGGCCGTTGCTGCCTCCTCCTGCCATCACTTAGGCCTGCGACGCCTCGGTCTCTGTCCAGCTGCTCAGCGTCAGGGTGGCGTTTGGGACGCCGCCCCCGCGACACGTGCACGACCTCATCCCTTCCTTCACAGTGCGCCATTGCTTTACGAATGAGGGAACTGAGGCGCAGAGAAGGCAAGTCACTTGCCTGAGGTGACTTTGAGCTGCAAGGAGGGCCTGAGCACAGAGAGTCCTGCCTGCTGGAGCCGTGGGCTGGAGAGGAGGACCAGAGCTGGCACAGAGCCTCCTCTCTCTGTGCTGCCCTTGGGCCCCGCCGGTTCCCTGGAGGATGTTGCGATCTTGTTCCTTACCCTGTTGGGGACACACTGTCTCCAGCACGTGCCTCCTGGCCTCTCCAGGGACTCCCTGCTTCTCTCCCCAAAGAGGGCCTTGTCTTAATGGTTCCTCCTCTACTGTCCCCAAAGCCCGAGCTTCCTCCCGCCTGCTTCCCCACCCACCTCCTCCTGGCCTGCTTTTGGCCGGGGGTCCACCCTTGTCCCCACCCCTGGTGGACCCTATCAGGAAGTGCTGCCCAAGAGGACCTTCCTGGTGCTCTTCCTTCTTTCCTGGGGCCTCTGGAGAAGGGAGTTAATCCTTGCCAAGCCCCTCCTGTGCACTGCTCTGCTCGGGGTGCTTGCTTGTAGTTCTCCCATTAGCCCTGAAGGGAGGGTTAGTTTTTGCAGAGGACAGATCTGAGGCTGAGAGGTTATTACCTGAAGCCACATAGCATAAGCCACAGGCCTGGGGTTTGACTCCAGCAGCTCTGTGGGACTCCTCAGTGTCTGGAGCACCCTTGAATCAAGAGGCTTTTCCATTCTGCAGGATTGGGGACAGCGGGTGACATCCGGAGCTGGGCCTCAGATTCCTGACCTGGCAGGTTCCTCATAGGAACCCTGGACTTATCTTGGCACACAAGTCCCAGGGGCTGCGTGAATGGCAGTCCCGAAATGGTGCTGTGCACAGCTCTGGCAACCAGCTGTGGGAGCCTGCCTTCATCTCCTGGTGTCCAGCGTCTGCCTTGCTTGTTGGCCAGACTGTCGGTAGACCAGGAGTCCCTTAGACAATTCCTGTGAAGTCCAGACTTCTGTGTCTCCCCTCCTGGGCCCCCGAGCGCCGGACGTGGCACTCAGTCCCACCGTGGGCCCCTCGGGTGTCTGGAAAGACTACCCGTCCTTCAGGGCCCCCCTTCTAAGGCTGAGAGTCCGCCTGGTTAGGGGGGAAAGAGCACAGGGCTGAGAATCGAGACACTTGGGTTGAGGTTCAACCCATTCTGCCGACAACAGCCCCACCTGCTGTTTGAGGCTCAGTTTTCCTCTGCCGCTAATTGGGAGAAGCACCAATTGCCCTCTGTGCCTGGCAGGGTGATCCTAAGGACGCAGAATGTGTGGCATGCCTGCACGGGGCTGGACCTTGGCTGTGTGTACACGCTCGAGTCTGGACTGTCAAATGTGTGGCTCACGAGCTACCACAGCCCACCAGTGTGCTCGTGGTTGAACCAGAACACAGCCCCACAGTCTCATCTTCCTTTCTTTTTTTTTTTTTTAATTGCAGAAAAACCCACATAGCACACAATAAACCATTTTAAAGCACATAGTTCAGTGGCATTTATGTTGTGCAAAGATCACCTCTGTGTAATTTCAGAACCTTTCGTCCCTATAAAAAACACCCCATGCTCATTCAGTAATCACTCCCTGTTCTCCCCTCCCTGGTCGCCTCTGGTCTGCTTCTTGTCTCTGTTTTGCCTGTTGAGGATACAGGACATAAACGAAATTATGTAACATTGACCTTCTGTGTTTGACTTCCTTCACCTCTTTTTTTTCTCTTGTTTTAAGTTATGGCCATGTCAGAACTGTTTTGTTGTTTGTTTGTTTTAATGACTGAAAACTATTCCATTATGTGGAGATGCCACAGCTGTTTCTCCATTCATCCATCAACAGACATTTGTTTTGAATTTTTCCTAACACACAGTGCCAGGCACCAGTGGTCACACTCTTGGTCATGCCCTCCTTTAAGAAAAACTTCTGAATCATTCCTTCCATTAAATGTAGATTTCTTCGTTTTATATACATTATTACTCCACAGATGCAGTACATTACAAAACCCACGTAAAGTATGGACATCTTAGGGACGCCTGGGTGGCTCAGTCGTTAAACATCTGCCTTCGGCTCAGGTCATGATTCCAAGTTCCTGGGATCAAGTCCCACATCGGGCTCCCTGCTCAGCCAGGAGTGGGGGCGGGGTGTTTGCTTCTCCCTCTCCCTCTCCCTCTCCCTATGCCCCTGCTCATGTGTGCTCTCTCTCGCTCACTCTCTCTCACATAAATAAACTAAATCTTAAAAAAAAGTGTAGACATCTTAGGAAGATGAGATTAAAAAAATAATAATACTGGGGCACCTGGGTGGCTCAGTGGGTTAAAGCCTCTGCCTTCAGCTCAGGTCATGATCCCAGGGTCCTGGGATCGAGCCCCACATCGGGCTTTCTGCTCTGCGGGAGCCTGCTTCCTCCTCTCTCTCTCTGCCTGCCTCTCTGCCTACTTGTGATCTCGGTCTGTCAAATAAATAAATAAAATCTTAAAAAAATAATAATAATAATACTTACCATATTTTTTCCTACACCTGCCACGGAGTTACTGCCCATTCTATTAGCTGAGGATGAAAATGTGCCTGAAATTAGTTTCTTCTTTTAGAAAAAATGGAAAACACAAAGTGGAAAACAGGCAATAAAAATCCTTCCGGCCTCTGCCTCAGGCTCACTGAAGGCCACACACCTGAGGCTCTGAGGTGAGAGGTAGAGGTAATCTTTTTTTAAGATTTTATGTATTTATTTGACAGACAGCGAAAGAGGGAACACAAGCAGGGGGAGCGGGAGAGGGAGAAGCAGGCTTCCCACCGAACAGGGACCCCCATGCAGGGCTGGATCCCAGGACCCTGTGATCATGACCTGAGCCAAAGGCATTCCCTAGTTTAATTTCCTAGTCATTTCCTAGTTTCTGATGTCAGGAATCCGCTTAGCCAGGGGCCAGTGCCTCGGGATCCTCACGGGTTACCACATGGGGTCAGCCAGGGCTGTGGTCTTGTCTGAAGGCCGAGGGTGATTCCATTTTCAAGCTCACTCACACGGTGCCAGCCAAGGACTCGATTCCTTGTGGGCTAAGGGGCTCCGGACCTTGTTGACTGTTGGCTGGAGGCCTTCCTTGGTTCCATGCCACGTAGGCCTCTCCACCGGGCAGCTCAAAACATGGCAGCTTCTTCATTAGAGCGAGCAAGTAGGGAGTGGCAGGAGAGGGCAAGCAAGGTGGAAGCCAAAGTCTTTGTAATCTCCTCTCAGAGATCTTATCTCTCCCTTTTTGCAATATTCTGTTGGTTCAAAGTGAATCACAAGGCCCAGCCCACACTCAAGGGAAGTAGGTTGCACAAGGCTGTGAATACCAGGAGTTGGGGCTGGAGGGGAGGTGGGGTGGGGTGGAGGGCGGCCATCTTGGCTGGCTGTCTACCCCACTGCATAGACCCGTCACAGAGGGCTGCTGGGTTCAAGGAGGTACCATGTGCACTGCACTTGGGGGAGTACAGATTGCCCTGTAATTGGTGGGATTGTGACTGGTGTTACTTTTTTTTTTTAATTAATATATTTATTTGAGAGAGAACGAGCGATGGGAGGGGCAGAGGGAAAGAACCCATGCAGACTCCCTGCTGAGTGCAGAGCTGGCCACGGGGCTTGATCCCAGAACCCCGAGATCATGACCCGAGCCAAAACCAAGAGTCGGAGGGTTAGGGGCACCTGGGTAGCTCAGTCGGTTAAGCGTCTGCCTTCAAATCAGGTCATGATCGGAGATGAGGCTGGGCATGTGCCAACATCTAGGGGAGTCGGCCTAGGGTCGGGGCTTGACAGGCCCACCTACCAGGACGTAAGACCACTCGTTCTAGGAGGCCAGGTCCAGCTCTAGAGGAATCTCGGTGTCAGGGCCCAGGAAGACCTCCCAGGACCTGGCTGGTGGGGTGGTACCGCCAGATCTGTGGTCAGAGGGCTCCTTAGAGTCCGAGGCTGAGGAAGGAAGTGATTGTCCCCTCCTGCGCCATGTGACCCGAAGCAAGTTCCCCTCCGTCTCTGGGCCTCCCCTCTGAAATGCCTGCTTCACAGCAGCCTTGTGGCTGTTTGAGGTGAAGAGGGCTCGCTGGGGTGTGGGCAGGCAGCAGGCTGAGGGCAGTAGCCTCCCCTCCTCCAGGCCTGGTGTTGGGTCGGGCGGGCCTGGGTCTCACACCTGGCCCGCCCCTCCCCTGCCCCACAGGTGTTCTCCATCGTGGTGTTCGGCTCCATCGTGAACGAGGGCTACCTCAACAACAACTCGGGGGGCGAGAAGTTCTGCATCTACAACCGCAACCCCAGCGCCTGCAGCTATGGCGTGGCTGTGGGCGTGCTCGCCTTCCTCACCTGCTTGCTCTACCTGGCCTTGGACGTGTACTTCCCGCAGATCAGCAGCGTGAAGGACCGCAAGAAAGCTGTCCTGTCCGACATCGGGGTCTCAGGTGAGTCCCCCGGCCCCATGGGCACCCCCCAGCACAACAGAGCCTGTGGAGGGTGCCCCCCACCCCGTGGGCCCATCACTCCTCAGCTATGAGGCAGGTGAGGGGATGGACTTGGGGTCACCTGGCTGGCAACAGGGAGTGGTGGGCCTGGGGCTGGGCCTGAGATACTGCAACAGCAGGGAGGGGACACGGCTTCCTGTCCTTCAGAGGCCCCTTCTGTGCCCTCTCCCTTGGTAGAGCCTCGTGAGAAGTCAGGCAAGACTGACAGCCCGGTATGCAGTCCGGGCCTAGGGAGGGTCGGGGTCCGACATGACCTGATTCCCCTGCCCTCCAGAAATAGCCTTTGGCAAAGGTGACCCGACCTCTGTCACCAAGAGTTCTGAGAGTCTGATCGCTGGGTGCTTTGGTTGAAGGGCAGTGAGACTTTGGCTGTGGTCTCAGTTCCCTGGCTGCGACCTCCCCCCATTACCCAGCCTGGGACTCTCAGGATGAGTCTGGCTGGCTGTAAGCAGTGAGGCCAGTCCCTTCGACCTGGAAGCTAGAATGAAATTAGTAGTTCTCAAACTGTATTCCACGGAGCCCCAGGGTTCCCCAGCAGTGCCTATGGGCCCAGCCCTTTGGCACACACACGCTTCATCGGAGCAGCTCTGGTTCTCCCTGGGTAGTCTCTGAGCACCCGCAGGAGATCTCACTGCCACGAGGCTCCCGCTACTGAACTCCCCAGGCCTCTCCTTGAGAGGGCCCGCCCGAACCTCCGGCTTTATGAGGCTGCAGGTATGGAAGAAGTCAGTGCTCAGACCCAGCCAGACAAGCTGCCCCCGTTGCCCAGCCTCCTCCTCCTCCTCCTCCTCCTCCTCTCTCTACCCTGTTAGGTCACAGTGGGGCAGTGGTTGGGGCAGGGTTGGTGGTGGTTTCAGATCGCTGCCCCCCCCACACACACACTGCTGCAGGGGCTGGCGGTGGTCCCCAGGCGGGGATCCAGCTGGGAAATCTGTGTGCGGCTGAGGTGACAGAAATGCCTGCCCAGGCTGACTGACTTTTCTCTCTGTCTCTCCCTCCTTTCCTCCCCTCACCGCCCCTGGCTCTCCCCGGCTCTGCTTGTGGCTGCGCTGTCCCCACGGGGCCGGCTCCTTTCTGTGGTCTCTGTCCCACTCCGTGTCTGACTGACCTCCCTGCGCTGGCCTCGCCTTCCCTGTGCTCCCTTCTCTGCCCACCCCTGCCCCCGGGGGCCTCTCCCTTTGGGGGTGGGGGAGTGTGGGAGATGTGCTCCTGAACCCCTCCCTGGTCCTCCCCACTCACCCTCCTGCCTGGCCCCGGTGAACACCCCAGCCTTCTGGGCCTTCCTCTGGTTCGTGGGCTTCTGCTTCCTGGCCAACCAGTGGCAGGTGTCCAAGCCGAAGGACAACCCAATGAATGAAGGGACAGATGCGGCCCGGGCCGCCATCACCTTCTCCTTCTTCTCCATCTTCACGTGGGTGAGTACACTGCTTGCCCAGCACGCACCCTCCCACCCCAGCCAGGCTCCCAGGCTGCTGGCCTCAAAGCTTAGCCAGGGACTCCTGCTTCCTAGGGCCCAAACGGCCCCCTGCGTCTGTCCTTGACACCCGCATGGAGTTGCTTCCTGAGGAAGGCGGCTGTTGCCAGTGCCAGCGAGGACAGTCCCCCAGTGACGGGAGACCCTCGCTTTGGCACAGAGCACCCTCCAGGGATTACAAAGGCCCTCCCAGCCGCTCTGGGAGTTGGGTTGTGGGCGTTTACCATAACCTTTTACAAACACAAGCAGAAGCCTAGATGGAAAGACAACGTTTGCAGTCCTAAGGGAAGGAGCTCAGGCCTTGGCATCGGGAGACCTGGGCCACATCTTGGTGCTGCCTGGAATTTTCCGGGACTCTGTCTTCCCATCTGTAAAATCAGGCGACTGGATTTGGGGTGGGAAGTTGTCATAAACTCAGATGCCCACGGGGCAGGCAGCACATGGGAAGTTCTGAGTGGGCAGGTAGCAGGTACGTGCCGTCCAAAAGGGCACCCTCGGCCCGTGTTCCAAAGCAGGAATGGGGATCCGCACAGGCCAGGTCTTTCCACTTTCCAGAGAAGACAGAAATCTGAATTTCTGTGTGAAATCTGATCTTTATATGTTAGAAATTAATTCAAGTTAAAAAAAAAAAACCCTACTATGTAGGTCAAAGAAAGCATGTCTCTGGGCCCCACTGGCCAGACAGCACCCCTTGGCAAGCTCTAGACCTAGGCCGGGCCCTCTTTCCCACTGGTTCCAGGTCACCTTGATGTATTTCTTCTCCTGTCATCTCCCTCCTGCAGATGTCTGGGTCACATGGGCTTCAGGCCCCGGTCCAAGGGTTCCCCTCCCCTGTGTACAGCCCCTTCCCCTCCATGCCTCCCAGTGGTCCTGGGCCCAGCCTCCTGCAGGGAGCCCCTGGGGCTAGATACAGGCCACCTAGCCCCTCCTGCAAAGCGAGCTGCAGCCCTCCCTCCCTGTCCCTCTACCCTCCTGGGCTTGTCCTGCAGTGACTTCCTGCTCCTTATGAGAGGCCTTGAATATCCATTTTCTCTAGGGACCCCCCAACCCTCATGCAATATTAGGAGCTAGAGTTTGGAGGAGAACACCTGTGGTTCAGGCCCCAGCTCCCCAGCTGTGGTCACACCAGCCCTCCATGTGTCACACCATGCCCAGGGCTGGGCAGGAAGAATCAGATGACCCCAGGGCATCTCAGACCAGAGAAGGTGCCCCGTATGTGGGGACAAGCCGGCCCACCCAGCCCTACAGGGAGGTGTTTGGAACAGTGAGCCCTGCCATGGGGATGGGGTTCACAGAGGAGGAATGGGTGATAGGACGGCAGGACTTCTAGGGGCAGATCCAAGAGCCTGACTGACAGGAGCCTGCTGGCCCACTGCCGCCAGCCTCCCTGCTGGCACTTCTGCCTTTCCCACCTCATCCCTGTTGGCCTCACCGCTGCTCTCTCCTGCTCCTGGCAGAGCCTGACTGCAGCCCTGGCCGTGCGGAGATTCAAGGACCTTACCTTCCAGGAGGAATACAGCACACTGTTTCCCGCCTCAGCCCAGCCGTAGGCCTGCCTGGCTTCCAGAGGCTAAGGGGCGCCCCAGGTCATGGCCAGTGGCAAGGCCATGGGGGAGGCCTGCTGCCGGGAGTGGCCAGGATACCCGGGCCCACAGGGCAGGGGAATGCTGGCTGGCAAGGCCAGTTCCGACCCTCCACTTAATCGTTTGTTGCCTCCTTTATGTTTCATTTGTCCGTTCATTCAGTAAACATTTATTGAGCTGTTGTGTGCCTAGTGATGAATCAGACGGGGTCCTTGGCATTAGGAGCCCACGGGCCGGGGAGGGGAAAACAAACAAATTGCAGTTTCCCCCAAATAGACTGCCGGGGGCTCTCAGAGGATGGGAGGTGGCTCATACGCGGGCTGCCGGGGTGCCAGCTGTGGACACTGTGAGAGCCTGTCCCTCACTGTAGCACAAAGGCTGACCTTACTCCCCGGGGAGGCTGGCTGCTCAGGAGCAGGGTGTGGGGGGCCTGCCCGAGGAAGTCAGAGGACGCCTCGCCTGGCTCTGCTTTCATATGCTGTGTGACCCTGGGCAAACCCCTGCACCTCTCTGAGCCTCCGTCCACTACGCAGTGGACCTACCTCTTAGGGCTGTTGTGCGGATGAAACAAAGGCTGATGCAGGGCCTGGCACAGAGATGCTCAATAAATGTAGGCTCTTTTGTTCTTTCATGCATTCATTCATTCATTCTCTCCCAGGAGTCAGGGACATCTCCATAATCCCTACTTTGGGGGCAGTTCTCATGGGGTGAGTCCTTATTCTTCCAAAAGACTCTGGCCTCCAGTTCTTTGTAGCCTCCAGCTTCCCTGGGCAGGAACCACTTTTCTCTCCACCCTCTCCAGGAGCTGAGGGGGTATTAGAGCAAACAGGCCCCAGAGCAAAGCACAGAGAGAAGGAGCTTCCTAACACCAGAGGCATACAAGTGCAGATGGCCGCACACAGTGTACCCGCTCTGGAGAAGGGGCCAGGCACACCACCAGGTCCCTGGGCTCTGCGTCCAACTCCCAGCCTCCCCTTTGCACCCCATTCCAGCAGGGTCCCCTGCCCTGTGACACAAATCAAAAGTCAGTGCCTGGTCACTGGGCTTCCGGAACTCTCCAGAATAAAATGCCAAGCACATGTCAGCCTCTGCCTCTCACCAGATGGGCCTCTGGGGTTCCTCGTTGGTTTATGGCCTTGTCAGGGGGCTGACGAAAGAGTTGGAGCTGGAGACGGCCCTGGCCTGGAAAGAGGAACACCTCTGTGTTCAGGTCTGGCTTCTGGCACTAACTGCCACGAGGTCTCCTGTAACCCAGCCCAAAAGCGAGTTTGGAGGACATTAGCCTCTGCATCACAGACTACCTGCTGGAAAGATCTTTGGAGGAGGCTTTCAATGTAAACCTGAAAACTTTTTTTTTTTTTTTTTAAATTCCCTAGCTTGCTGTGGTCAATGTCATTGTCCTTAATAACAATGCAGTAGTTTTTACTGAAAAAGAATTTCCCGCCTACATACATATGCTGTAGACAAGTCGTTCCCAGTGAGGTCTTGTGGGAAAAGGGCTTTGTTGGTCAGATAAGGTTGGCACATGCTGCTTGCCATAGTTTTCCCCTTGGGGGATCCCAGCGTACATTAGTCAAGGCTCTGACACTTTATTTCACTCTGTTTCCAAGCTTGTTTGATCAAATGTTTGAGTTACAATTAGGTTCAGCAACAAGTGAAATTGTAAATTGCAGCCCAAGTCTGTGAAGACAGTGAAAGACTGGCCTAGTGGTTCCAGGGGACTTCCGTGACCCAGGCCTCTTCCATCCTTCCAGTTTGGCTCACGGACCTCATGGTCCCGTGTGGCAGCTAGAGCTCCAGCTACCACATCTGCATTCCAGGCATCAGGTCAAAGGATAGGACAAAGGACTTGGGGTGACATGCTGGCCAGAACTTCGTCACATGCTTACACCTTGCTGCAAGAGAGACAGATGGCTTTTAGGAGATACCAACAGTTCTCTCTCCCACCGAGAACCTGTTTTCCCCATTCCACATAACATGCCTGAGGACACAGTTTGAGAAGGATGCTGTGGCCTTTGGGCCACTTTAACACTACCCCCACGGAGGATGTTTGGTGGACCATCGTGACCTCTGTGACATGGGGGGGTGACTTCTGAAGGTTTCTGTAGCTAGATGGACGGTGTGGCTCTGGCTCTCTCAAGGGCTGGCTGCCAGCACAGACTCCCCCACCCCCCCCCCCCCCCAGGCAAGCTTAGTTTCCTCCTCGGTGCTTTGAGGGTACTTAACCCCTGTTGCGTGTGTCGTGTGAACTAACTGCCACTAACCCGCTGTTCTTGTCTGTCTCTCCCCTAACCTTCCCCTCCTTCCTGCCCTCATCCTCGCCGGCGCCTGTCACCAGGCGGGCCAGGCCGTGCTGGCCTTCCAACGGTACCAGATTGGCGCCGACTCGGCCCTCTTCTCCCAGGACTACATGGACCCCAGCCAGGACTCCAGCATGCCTTATGCCCCCTACGTGGAGCCCAGCGCCGGGCCGGACCCCGCCGGCATGGGCGGGACCTACCAGCAGCCGGCCAACGCCTTTGACACCGAGCCCCAGGGCTACCAGTCCCAGGGCTACTGAGCTGCCGTGACCACCTGCCCCTTGCCTGTCCCCGCCCCAGTCCCAGCTGCCCCTCCCCCCCACCCCTGCCCACACCCAGACCCTTGCTCCCTCCCAGACTGCCCTGCCCAGCGCCTTGCCAGCCTCGGCGCTGTTCTGCTGTGGTCCAGGGCAGCTTGGTGGGATGGGGCGGTGAGGTGTCGGCGGTGCGTCTCCGCGTGTGTGCAAGGCTGTCTGGCAGGGGCTGGGGGCGTTTGCACTCGTGCGTTGTGTCACTGAGCGTTCATCACGTGCCTACTGTGTGTCACGGGTGGGCTTGACGCAGGTAGTGAGAGACCAGTGGCCCAGGGAAGGGGGAAGACAAGGTGCGGAGGAGCCCCGCTGGTCCCGGAGGTGGGAATTGGTGCGAAAGCCCGGGATGATGCCAGGAAGGTTTGGCTCCGGGGTGTGTGGGGACACGTGGAGGACACTGGGAGCTGTCACCCAGCCCTACTATGAGCATGGGGGCAGTCTCCCGTTTTATGGTTGAGAGCACTGAGGCCTGCAGAAGTCAGGGTCCCTTGCCCAGGGTCACGCAGGCAGCCAGTGATAGAATTGGGCCCAAGCCCCAGCCATCTGACCGGAGAGCCCCTGCTGTCTCCTGTCTTCCCTGCCTTCCTCGTCCCTGGGGCTCCACCACTCAGTATTCCTGTCACTCTGGGAGGCCTTGGGGACCTCAGCCCGTGAGAGAACCCTGATTCTGCTGCAAGCCAAGGGCCTGCTCTGCCCGGCTGCTCCCCACAATGGGACAGCCCAGCCTCCAGGCCCCGCTCCCCACATCCCCACAGCCCCTCCCCCAGCCTCCAGTCAGGGTGGGAGGGCCAATGGGGCTCGCCTCACTCGCTTGTTTCCCCATGTGCTGTTCCATGCTGTGTGTGCCCCACGGGGAGCTCTAGCACCCTCTTTGTGGCCTCCCAAAGGACTGACCGTTGTGGGTGGACGAGGAGGCTCAGAATGGGGAGTGACTGGCCCAAGGTCATAGTGACTGAGTGGCAGAGCTGGGCTTGCTGCCTGGGTTTTTTGGCCCCAGCCACCCAGCAGGTGCCCCAATTCCCTGCCCTGCCCTTGTGACCTCCCAGGAAACAGAAGTGATCTGGGACACTGTGTCATCTTTCCCTCAGCCGGGGTTAGCCAGGGGCTCGGGGCCTGGAACACCCAAGGACATGTAGAGTCCTTCCACTGGCCTTCCAGAAGGCCCAGTGAGAGGACCGTCTCCCTGTGGAAGTCAGGGGAGAGAGGGCAGGGGCTGTGGAACCCTCAAGGCCAGCCTTCGAGCTGCTGCCGTGGGACAAACCGCTCCCAAGATGAACGCTGAGAGCCCCTGGTGCATGGTAGGCTGGGGGAGGCCGTGGGCTCTCGGAGACAGTAGCAGGTGTCTCCAAAGGCACAAGAAGGATTGGGAGGAGGAAGGGATTCTTCACTGAACCTTAAAGGATGGGGAGGCCTTAAAGGAGAGAGAGAGGCGTGGGGGTGCATGGGGCCCCATGTCCACTGGCCAGTGCCCCAGGGAGCAGGACCAGGGTATCGTGGCCTGGCACCATGCTGGCTGTTCCCACCGCTGGCACCCCATGCCCCCACAAGAATCCTCAGAGGCAGTTGATACTCACTCACTTGCCCATTGACTCAGCAGCTGTCTCATGCCAGGGTTTCAGAAAACATGCAAACTGGCTGTCCAGAGATGTGTCCCAAGCCAACCACTGTACCCAGGGTCCACCAGGGGGCAGAGTGCTATCCAAGTGCTTGCCGCCGGGGGGCGGGGGGGAGGGGGCTCTAGGAGGGGCCGGGAGGATGGGCAGCCCTTAGCACAGTGATGAGGGAAGAAGGAGGAATTTCCTAGGTTGAGAAGTAGCTTCGTTGTCCCCACTCAACAGAAAGTGAAACTAAGGCTCAGAGTGTAAACAAGTTAGCAGTGGAGCAGGGATCTGAACTCAAGCCTGTTCAAGTCCTCGGGAGGGGCAGCAGTGACAGGAGAGATCCCCAGACAGCCAAGCAACAGCTGGTCTTCCTAGACTCCAATTTTCCACATCTGGGGGAGGCGCCCTGTCTCTGGTAACCCGCCAGTGGCACAAGTGGGGATGGGATGAAGTGGTGGCATTTACTGGGCCGAGCAGCGGAGCCTGTACCAGACCAAGTTTGAGAAGCAGGTAAGGGGCGCAGGTGGTTGTGGGTGCGCTTCTGGCAAAGTGAGGTTCTGTACACACGCGGGAGGTTGAGAGAGGTCCTTCCTCGTGCCCACTGCCCACCAAACAGCTCGCCTGCTAATGGACACCAGGAGACCCCAGGGTGCTGCTCACCCATTGTCCCTGGGCACCAACCAGCTGCTCATGATACAGAGCTGGAGGGCCGGGTACCACTTGAGCTTCGCCGATTCCCTGGGTGTTTCTTCTAGACTGTCCCTGCCACCCGAGACTGGGGAAGTTTACAGAACCCCTGCCATGAGGGAGGGGCGCAGAATCTTCTCACTTTGCATTCTTCACTCTACCTGGGGTACAGCCCAGATATGATCCCACCATCAAGCTGGGTGTTGGCAGGGGCCCAATAGTGGTGCAGGTGAGAAATGGGGAGAGGGCGGGATTTGGCTGGAACCCAGGACTCCTGACTCCCCTTCTGGGGTGTTGGTAGGGACCCCCTGCTTCTCCCACTGACTGAGGACAGCACCCAGGAGGTCCCAAACTTAGAACCCATGTTTGTGGGCCAACAGTATCCTCTTTCCCCCTCCCTGCTGCCTCCCTCGGCCTCTCCCTTGTTTCCAACCCTTTCTTTGGAGAAGGCTGCCTTCTGCAGCCTGACCTTGCCGGGTTTGGGCTCCCTCTTTCCACCAAGCACAAGAGAGGGCCCAGGAAAACTGGGTTCCACACAAGTTTAGAGTTACAAGGACCCTTAGAGAAGGTAGAGTAGGCCAAGAAGACCGTCATTTGTCCAAAGTTATGCACAGAGAAGTTGAGGACCTCGGTCTCCTGCCCCTGAGTTAACACTCACCCTGCATAGTCATGGGCCGTCTGCCTGGGTGTGGTGTCTGGTACCTGGGGGTGTGACAGTCAAGGGTCTAATTCCCCAGGATTTGGCATCCGCTCCCTTACTCCAACCTCCCCTGTGATTTTTGATCTTCAAAGACTCTCGGGAGCATCAGGCTCCCCCCATGTAACCAAGAGCCCCCACTTGTTACCCCTTGAGGGCCCCCAACCTTGGCCCAAGACCCCTTTGATTCTCTAAGGAGCAGGAAGGGGGAGCACCCCTCCCAAGAGTTTGTGGGAGGATGGGCTGGTCCAGCCATCTCCTAGCGCTGCCCCTTGATCTGACATTCCCCATCCCCTGGTGCCCACAGCCCTTGTCTGGGTGTCCTGGCCCTCCTGCAGCATAACTGCCTGTGTATAGTATAAATATATATATTTTCTATATATAAGATGTATAATATAAGGCTCCACAAATATATCTCTGTGTGTGCGCGTGTGTGCAGTGAATGGCGGTCCCCATCCTGGGCCCCCACTCTGGACTCCCCCACCACCTGGTTAAGTCTCAAGAGTGAATCCAGTGGCCCCGTGACACCCTCCATTATGACATCTGTCCATTTGTGGTGAACCAAGTGAAGGTGGTGACTTCTGGTGACATAGTAATAAAGTGAAGACAAACCCACCAGCTGACTGCCACGTGTCCCGACGTCTTTGTTCTTCCTGGGTGTGGCTTGGGGGTCGCATTCCCTCTCCCCCCTGAATTGGCACCTGCTTTGTTTTTACTGTTCAGTACAAGTGAGGTCATGACCGTGACCATTGAAGTCAGTGCTCCCCAGCTTTACATGTGTGCGTGCAGGCACACAGGCCTACATGTGCACACACACCCCTGTCACCATTCCCTATCCTGGTCCCTTTCCCAGTCCCTGAAGGCACCTAAGCTTCCATACAGACCTACGCGTAGATTTGCAGGACACTAATTAAAGGTTATGGTCCTGAGCTGGGCCGTGTATCTAGACACAGTGCTGGGCTCTAGGAGTCAACACTGAGCAAGGTAGTCAGCCCCTGTCCCCACAGACCAGTCCTCCAGCAGGAGGCATGGATGCAAAACCAACATGCAAACAAAATAAGTTGTGACAAGTGCTGAGAGACCATCAGAAGATGCCGTTTAGACCTGGGCTCAGATACAGACCCCTCTGAGCAGATGACCCTTCGCCGCGATGAGCAGTTGTTCAGCCGCAAGGGGGTGAGCGATCTGAAGAGAGGAACTGAAACACGGAGGTCCCTGCCCAGGAAGAGCTGGGAGAGCTGGGAGAGGCAGAAGGCAGGAGAGGCAGACACATAGGAGAGGAGGAGGAGGAGGGACAGGCCACAGGGTACTCCGGGGTCCCACCGCACCAGCTTCCAGGCTTCCATCGGAGGTCTGGTTCCTGCTGGGCGACGTAGAACTCACTGACGGGCGGATGACCATCCCGGTACGTGTTCAAAAAAGACCACCCCTGGGGTCAGATGGCAACCAAGAGGTGACTGCCCGTTGTTCAGACAGGAAGGTCACCAGGGACATAGGGGAAATGGAAGAAATCCAGATATATTTGAGGAAAGAGCAGATCGGTAAGGGATGGCTTGGGCAAGAAGGGCTGAGGTGGGTGTGAGAACCGCCCCCCCCAGCAGAAAAGCAGGAGCTCAGGTGGTGGAGGAGGAGCAGGGGAGTTCCGGTCTCTGTGTCGGCTACGCCCACACCATGGCCCTCCACAAGTCCCGCCTTAGTCCAGCTGCGGGGCCTCTGACTGGACAGAGGTGAGGACCTGATCCACGGGCCGCCTCTCCATAGGCTGAGAGGTCCCAGAGCCGAGGTGCCAAGGCAGCACTAAAAGGCACCGCCCTCCCTCCATAACTAAGCCAATCAGATTGCCTCCCTCCACCATGGGGCAGAAGGATTGGTCAATCGGGAGGAAGCTGGAGGAGACTCCTAAGGAGGCGCAGTTAAGAGAGAAAGTGCAGGGCAGGAGTTCCGTACTACCTGGGTCTACCTCCCTCCTCTTGCTTTAAGGAGGCCTGGGGGCTGCAGCTGCTTCCAATCACAAGAGCTTCACTACCTCCGGAAGGCTGCCTCACCTGTAACCCCTTCCCTGCCAGGCTTCCAGAAGACTAATGAACTGTGAACCAGCCAGACAGCAGAGCGCATGCGCGGAGTCACTGATAACAAGCCCGATCACATCGTTATTATGACTCAATAGTCACGCCACCCTGCGTTTGCCTTTTCTGTTTTTGTCATCATTATTCACCTATTTCCTTCACTCTGGAGTAACCAAAGTACTTGCCACATACCTTACCTACCAAAGGACTTCAAAAATTAAAATCTGAATCCAAAGGACTCGGATCTGCCGTGGGGAGTGGGAGCCGGGGGGAGGACTACTCAGAAGAATGACCCTTAGCTGGAGAAGATGGGTCCCAGATTAGGATAAGGAGGACATCACAGCGGTCATCTCTGCCCTCAACGATGACCAGCCTTCCATGCTGTGATGTGGTTTTCAAAACGTGATAACATGATGGCTTTTCCTTGGACTTGACAGAAATCAGTAAAAGCCTCAACAGGCTTTAGCAGAGTAAGAATAATTTGGAGAAATAGGAAAATCCTTTCAAAGAAATACTAGCTTTCAGAATCAGAGCCCCTACATAATTTTTGGGCCTCTTAATTCAAAAAGCAGTAAAAAGGGGCGCCTGGGTGGCTCAGTGGGTTAAAGCCTCTGCCTTCGGCTCAGGTCATGATCCCAGCGTCCTGGAATCGAGCCCCGCATCGGGCTCTCTGCTCAGAAGGGAGCCTGCTTCCTCCTCTCTCTCTGCCTGCCTCTCTGCCTACTTGTGATCTCTGTCCGTCAAATGAATAAATAAAATCGTTAAAAAAGGGGGGGGGCAGTAAAAAGGAGTTCCTGGGTGGTTCAGTTGGTTAAGCTCTCAACTTTTTTTTTTTTAATGGCACCATTTTATTTTATATTAAGATTTTATTTATTTTGACACCACACGCATGAGCAGGGCGAGGAGCTGAGGCAGAGGGAGAAGCAGGCTTCCCTCTGAGCAAGGAACCCCATGCAGGGCTCAATCCCAGAACCCTGAGGTCACTACGGGAGTTGAAGGCAGATGCTCAACCGACTGAGCTACCCAGGCACCCCATAAGCACCCAACTCTTAATCTCAATTCAGACCTTGATCTCAGGGTCCTGAGTTCAAGCCCCAAGTTGGACTCCATGCTGGGTTTGGAGCCTACTTATACAGACACACAGAGATACACACAGCAGTTTAAAGAAAAAAAAAAGTGTAATTAAAGGTACTAAAATAAATTTTTTTTCCTTTCAAAATATTTGATTACTTATAAAATGAAATAAGGGGGAGGGGGAGGGGTGCGCCTTGGTAGTTCAGTGGGTTTGAGCCTCTGCCTTCAGCTCGGGTCATGATCCCAGAGTCCTGGGATCGAGCCCCTCATTGGGCTCTCTGCTCGGCGGGAAGTCTGCTTCCTTCTCTCTCTGCCTGCCTCTCTGCCTAATTGTGATCTCTGTCAAATAAATAAAATATTTTACCAAAAAAAAAAAAAAAGAAAGAAAGAAAGAAATAGGGGTTATGCAAATGACATAAACTTAAAACTGCAAAAAAAATTTTTGTTATTAGTACATTTAGAGCTGATGATTCTTGTGGAACAATTTGTCAAAAGATTTAAGTCTTTAAAAAATCTATTTCACGTATACCTGAATTTAATTTTTTAATTTAATTTTATATGTAAGTTTATACAGTGGCATTTTAATATTTCCTCTAACATTTTTTGTACCTTGTGTAGTTGTACAAGAAACTGAAAGTTAGGGGTGCCTGGGTAGCTCAGTCAGTCCGGTTAGGTGTCTGCCTTCAGCTCACGTCGTGATCCCCAGGTCCTGGGATCCAGCCCCATATCGGGCTCCTTGCTCAGCGGGGAGTCTGCTTGTCCCTCTCCCTCTGCCCCTCCCCTCTGCTCATGTTCTCTCTCTCATTCTTTCCCTCAAATACATAAATAAAATCTTTTTTTTAATCTTTTTTTAAGTTCTTTTTTTTTTAAAGATTTTATTTATTTATTTGACAGAGAGAAAGAGAAATCACAAGTAGGCAGAGAGGCAGGCAGAGAAAGGGAGAAGCAGGCTCTCTGCTGAGTAGAGAGCCCGATGCGGGGCTCGATCCCAGGACCCTGAGATCATGACCTGAGCCGAAGGCAGAGGCTTAACCCACTGAGCCACCCAGGTGCCCCCATAAATAAAATCTTTAAAAAAAAAAAAAGGAAAGAAAGAAAGAAACTGAAAGTGACAATCACCTGGCATGAGAGATGCTAAGCGATCGCCAAGGTGGCTCTCGCAGTGTGAGGCTCATACATTGCATTTAGGAAACATGGGAAACTCGACTGTGCAATTTCTAACGGGTGGAGGGGGCCTGCCTTCGTGTTCTCCTCTGGAAAAAAAAAACTGAAAACGACCTCATAATTTGTCTATAATTTTAACAACCTATTTATGCACCTGGTTGCACTATGTTTGATTACAAGAAAAATTAATTTTAAAATTTCCTTTCTCAAAAATAAAAATAAAAAATAAAATTGTCTTTCTCATGAATAACAAAGCTTCACATGAAAATAGAAGGATTTGGGGTGCCTGGGTGGCTCAGTGGGTTAAAGCCTCTGCCTTCAGCTCAGGTCATGATCCCAGGGTCCTGGGATCGAGCCCCGCATCGGGCTCTCTGCTCAGCAGGGAGCCTGCTTCCTCCTTTCTCCTCTCTCTCTGCCTGCCTCTCTGCCTGTCTCTCTGCCTACTTGTGATCTCTGTCTGTCAAATAAATAAATAAAATCTTAAAAAAAAAAAAGAAAATAGAAGGATTTGCTATAAAGTGTGACCTTTAAATCTGAGTTCTTGTCATAAGCCTCTGAATATTTGCTTTGCAATGTTGCGGTGGTTTCCAAAACCAGGGATACTAGACTCTGAAGAATTGACAACTCCCGGATACACTTTATTGCCACGTCCATCCGTAAGCTTTGGTTTTGTGATAGTTCACCGACAATTCACTGCCCAAGTGCGCACAGGTCCCGTCCCAGACTTAGGCTGCAGAGCTTCTATTTCTGTAGATCTTCTGGACGGGCTCTTCCGTGGGGGGGTGGGGGTGGTGTCCCTTCTCTCACCCTGGCTTGGGTGGACGGCAACCATATTCTGCTGCTGCCAGTCTGGGCCCGGATCCCAGACTGCCCCACCATGTGGGTGCACGCTGGGTGGCCAGGCCAACTGGCACAGCACCCATGCTGCCCACAGCCCGCCAGACTTGCTGGCCAGGGCCGGCTCCCCACCACCTGGTGTATCTTCATACGCCGGCGTCCCTGTCCCGTTGGACTTCCTTTACAAAACACAGGTTCAAGGAGCAAATCATTACGAATTTCAAGATGGGGAGATCAGAGTGTTAAACCAAGAACCGGGTTCATTCTGAGCTGGGAGGCCTCTGTAACTGCATAGGTCATACACCTAATGAGCTCAGCCGTGCCCAGAATACTGATTCCAGTTCCCTCTCTACTGCTCCTTCATTCTATCCTGTTGTTGTTGTTGTTGTTGTTGTTTTTAAGATTTTATGTATTTATTTGACAGAGATCACAAGTAGGCAGAGAGGCGGGGGGCGGGGTGAGGGGAGCAGGCCCCCCGCCAAGCAGAGAGCCCAATACAGGACTTGATCCCAGGACCCTGAGACCATGACCTGAGCCGAAGGCAGAGGCTATAACCCACTGTTCCACCCAGGCACCCCTTGTTTTTAAGATTTTATTTATTTATTTGAGAGAGAGAGAGAGAAAGAGTGCATGAGCAGGGGGGCAGAGGGAGAAGCAGGCTTTCCACTGAGCAGGGAGCCCAACAAGGTGCTTGATCCCCTGAGATCAAGACCTGAGCCGAAGGCAGACCCTTCATCAACTGAACCACCTGAATCGTCTTTTTCTCCTTTTAGTCTCCTTGTCAATTAGATAGCAACACTTAACTGTGGGCCTGTCATAGTGGCTATAATTATGATAAATTTAATCACCCAGTTCTAGTTCCTGGCACAGAGCTGCAAAAATCCTTGGAATTTCTGAATGATAAGGTTAAGAGGTTCACTTTGTGTTGTTCATAACAAGCCCCTTACAGTCACAGGTGCATGTATGGTAATGAGGTAACTTTTGGAAAACCCCTAAGAATGAGAGGGGTTGCCAAGGAAACCAGCCTTGGGATGGGGGCTGGACATTTCAGCCCCACCCCTGACCTTCAGGTAGAGGAGAGGG